TTGGATAAATACCTAGGATTAGTACTAGTGAGTCATATGAACATGAGTGCATGTTTAACATTTTCTGAATCTGCCAAAATGTTTTTCAAAGTGGTTTATACTTTTCTACATTCCCACTAGCAATGTATTGAAAATTCCAATTGCTTCACATACTCACCGGTACTTGGTATTCTTAGTGTTTTTAATTTTAGCCATCCTTAGTGGGTATGTAATTGTATCTCACTGTAGTTTTAATGTGCATTTTCCCAATGATTAATAATGCTGAGCATCTTTTCATGTACTTACTTGCCACCCATAGATCTCATTTGGTGAAGTGTCTATTCAAATCTTTTGCCCATGTTCAATTGAGTTATCGCTTTATTTTTTTAGATGAAAGCACTATTTATGTATTCTGGATTCAAGTTCTTTGTTAGTTATGGTCTTACAATCTGTAGCTTACCTTTTCATTTTCTTACCGGTATCTGTTGAAGAGCGAAATTTTAAAAATTTTGATGAAGTCTAATTTAACAGGTTTTTCTTTTATAATCTGTAATTTGGGGTTTTATTTAAGAAATCTTTGCCTAACTCAAGAGCTTACGTTTTGTCAAGAAGTTGTATGGTTTAGCTCTTGCATTTGGATCTGTGATCCAGTTTGAGTTAATTTTTACATGTGATGTAAGGTAAGGATTCTTTATTTTTTGGCATATGGATATCTAATTGTTCCAGCACCATTTGTTGAAAAGATTATCCTTTCTACATTAAATTAATTGCTTTCACATCCTTTTTGAAAGTCAGTTGGCCTACGAGTCTTGGTGTTTTTCTGGACTTCCTTTTCTGTTCTATTTATCTATATGTCTATATATCTTTATGTCAGTATGACACCATTTATTACTATAGCTTCATAATAAGCCCTGAAATCAGGTAATAAGGCCTCCAATTTTGTTTCTCCTTTTCAAAGTTGTTTTGGCTACATTAGGCCCTGTGCATTTTGAAACTTCTATCTTTCAGTTAGCCACTTTCAAAACGTCATTGTGCAAGGTACCTGCTGAGCTCCAGCCATTGGTCCATGTTCCAGGCCCCCAAAGGAGAAATGATGAAGGGCGAAAGATATCTTCCCCAGAGGTCTATCCTTTTTGTGTGAAGCTTTCCTAGAGTTCCCTCCCTCCCACACAATATTCTGCTCTCATCTTACTCATCAAATCTTAAACTGGTGGTCATGCCAGTTATAAAGGAAGTTATGAACTATGATATTTTGTCTAGATGTCTCCAGAATGCAGATATACTGTTAGTAAATTAGGAATGGAAAATGAATATCTGGAAAACAATATGAAGAACTGACCTCATCAATTCTTTAAAATTTGTTAAAGCCTTTTGGAATCTACTATGTGATCGATATTTGTAAATATTCTATGTCATTTTAAAATAATGTACATTTGAACTATTCGTTGGGCTCGGGCTTCTCCTCATATACATCGTCTTTATTAAGCACAACTTTGTTGTTTAAATCTTCTATATCCATAGTAAATTAGATTGTATTTGTTCCATCAGGTATGTATAGAGATGTGTTAACTTCTCCCATGATTTTGTATTTACCAATCCCTCCATGTTCTGTTGTTTTACTTTAAGTACTTTGAAGCTATCCACAATTGTTATAACAGTGGATTTTTTTCTTTTATTATTAGACAGCGTTCCTCTTCATTCTTATTAATGCTTTTTGCCTTAAAAATCTCTTTTTCAGAGTGCTAAGATTGTTGCATTAACTTTTATGTTTTTTGCTCCCTTTTCATAAAACCCTCCTATGCAGATTTGTTTTATGTCTCTTGTGATATTCAGTTTTTTGTAATCTTCCCTGATTATCCTAATAATCCTAATTATCCTTTTAATAGTTAATTTTTATTTGTTTCTTTTATTATGATTCCTGATATATGTGAACTTACATATTCTATATTATTGCTGACCATTCTTTTTCTGTGTTTTTGTGTCTTTTTCCTGCTTTCTGATGGATTGAGATCAAATTTTGTATTCCACCGTTTTCCTCTGCTGGTTTGGAAATTGGAGATAAAATTTCAGTAATCTCTTTAACCACGCCCTGACCTCAAAAGATGACGAGGGTCTTAGCATAGATTCCCTACAAATTGAACATCTCATTTCCATACTTAAGCTATTTTTCTTTAACATTTTCTTATTAATTTTCTTTTAATTATAAATTTTGAAACTGTTATCACTTTTGCAGTCAATAATTATTTAAATGATTTTTTTATCATCATTGTTTCTTTTCTTTGGTTTCACTTTTTGTCTAGCTGAATTAAATCACTGGTTCTTTTAGTGATGATCTCTAAGTGGTAAACCCACTAAGTGTTGTATATGCAAATTTGTCTTTATTTTGATAGAATTTTTTTAACAAGTTTAAAAATTCTAGGTTGACATTTATTTCTCCTCGGTACAGTAAAGTGATTACTGCAAGGTCTTCTGTAATCTATTGTGTAGCTGATGAAAATTCTTCTTTTACTGTGACTGTCATTTCTTGGTTAATAATCTTTCCTTTCTCTCCAAAAGCTCTTTTCCACATCACTGAATTATTAAAATTTGAAAGGTATGGAAAAATTGGGAAATTTTACCATAAGCCCCATTATACTTTTACATAGATTTACAATTAACATTGTACCATTCTTGCTTTACCACATTTCTGCCCATCTATCCATTTCTCTACCCATTCACTAACCCATCTTTAAGATGGAAATATTACAAAGTTGCAGACATCAGTACACTTCCCCCCAAATACTTCAGCATGCCTATCATTAATTGGAGTTCAATATTTGTTCACAATTATCTTCTTTTTCTTTTTTAGCTAAAATTTACAATGAGATGCACAAATATTAAGTATATTATGTTATGAGTTCTGATTAAAGCATTTCCCTGTAGAATCTAAATCTTTATCAACATACAGAACATGACCATCACCCTGGAAGTTAAGCAAATCTCTGAGGATCCAAGAGAGACTTTATTATCCTGATATATTTCTAAGGAGGGATATGTTCTCTATTTTATACTGGTCAGGAAACAAATCCGCCATCTGACCTGGAGGGCCACATTAATTCTAGCTTCCAAGGCTGTTTGCTATTCAAACATCCTTGAAAAGATACTCTGAGGCATGTGGAAATGCCATGAATTGCCTCCCAACAAATTCACCTCACACAGCAGATTGTGGCAAATTTCCCCATAAAGAAACCACTCCAATAGCCATTCTGATTAATCTGACCAATGGAGGCCGGGACCAAATCCATTCAATTTGTTTCCTGCAGCATCTAATAAATTTCATAAACCGTAAATGGTTTTGGGTCTTTTATGACCACCCTTGCTGTGCAAGTCACGTGTTTGCATAAAGGAGGCAAGTGAATGCCTGGCTTTCACACAAGAAGTACAATCCCAAGGGCACACATGGTGCTCCTGAAAGGGAAGCATTTACAATTGTTGAGGTCCCTAAGCAGACATACATCAGCCAGGGTGAAGGTAGACAGTACCTCCAATGTGGGCCCTTGGCCAGCTGTAGAGGCTTAGAGTTCCTAGCTCCATTTATTGGATCTAGTCATTGATTGGGGTGGGGCGGGGAGGTGGAGGGAGGAACACTGCCTGAGGACAGTCTATCCAGTCTGTTCTTTTTGCCCATGATACCCACCAGAAGGCGTTCTTCCCCCTGCAACCCTCCACTGGATGACTAAGAATCAGGGTGGGGATAATGTCTGGAGGTATTCTGCATGGAATGTGCAGACACTGTTTCTAGTGTCTGTTTTCTTGATTCTGGTACAGAATGGCAGACTCAGCATCTCCGTGGTAGAAGAGGTGTACCAGGGCAGTTTCCTTCTGAAAGAGGGATTCAGGGCAGTTCCAAAAGATAGATGTCATTAAGGTTCCTCCATTTCCTGTCCCTCCTAGGGTTTAGGGTGTTCCCTCCTTAGATACCTGGATTTTTGCTCTTCCTTCAGTGCCACAAAATCTGTGTGTGCCATTCCAGTGCCTATAACTTCATCTTTCTTTCCCAATCATCTCCTATTCTCAGCTTTCATCCAGAAGGGTCAGATATAAGCAGAGCAAAGGCATTTCCATAAAATATAGTCAAATTTAAATCTGAATCCCCCAGGCACTCTGAAGGCTGTGCCCTCTATGCTGGTTGGGGAAGCAACCATCATTTCCAGCAGTAGTCAGAAAAGAATCTTGAATTTTTGGAACTGGTCTATATACCATTAATCCCTCACCGCTTTTGTCCTGATCACGATTCAGGAAGGAGCTGATTCCTTCCTGGGGACAGCTGCCTTCGATGACCGAAGAGCTGTACAGAAGAGTGTGGAAGGGAAGAGATGAGGATATAGAGTCAGACAGTCAGTGCATTGGGTGTAGCTCTTGATAAAGGGCACACCATTGTCACTCTCCAAATGATCTAGCCAGCCATGCAATTTGCAGATTGTTCTAGAGCTTCTTGAGCTCTTCTTTCAGCTATGGAGAAAGCTGATGTGAGAGAGAAATGAAGGAAAGTAGAAAACACAAATAGAAGGCAGACACCATCTCCATTAGGTTACCCCATTATCCTCTCTCTTCTCACTCAGTCAGGGCTCAAATAGAGAGATACAAGTATGGTCTCTCACTTTGTCTCTAGCTACCTAACTGCAGTGAAATAGTATTGCTGGAGAGTTCCCTTCAGAACATGACAGAAGCTGTATGTTTTGTTGTCCTGTAAGAATCAGTGAGGCTGACTAGATTGGGAGTTAAGACAGTTTTATTGATGCCTGGCTTCTCTGCTAAAGCATTCTGTTTTGTGTGAGATTTGAGAAGTGAAGTCAAAGTAGACATTCTGTCTATGTATGTTATGTACCAAAAATACCACTGGAAGAAAGACCGAAATTCTAGAGATTTGTGGAATAGTTTCCTAATTGCCCCTGTGTCTTTATAGGAATGACCCCAACAGGGGAGGAAGGATGCATGTACAATCGCAAAATGAGACATAATGAAGAAATCTTCTCTTTCAGGGTCAAGAATGGACAGAAATGAAAATGTGAATTTCCACTCTGAAATACTTCCTGTGACCTGTGGTCAGGCAAAGGGGATGTTATATAAGAGAAAATTGAAACGAGGTGGGTTTCAAGGTCTACTTTAATTTGCAACTTCTATCTGAAAGAATCACAGAAGTGATGGAATTACCCATCTGAATTACACATCTTTAAGGAATTGGAGCCCCAGTTTGGCTTGAGAGAAGGAGGAAGGGATCCCTAAGAATAGTATTTTCATGCTTTAAGAAATCACACACGTTAAGTGCTCCCTCCACATGGAAGTGTCTATGGGGATGCCCAAACAACCAAAGAGAAGTGCAAGCACTTCAACCTATAGATGGAAAATATTGCATATTTTACTTTGAATCAGAAACAAAAGGGAAGAGGCCCTCAGCCTCCACCTTCATATCCTCTTACCTTTCTGGATCATCATCACCAGGGCAGGGTGCTTGACGTAGTGAGAAGATCACAGAATTTCGAAGTAGAAAACCTCATTCCAGCCTCAGTTATGCCAAGTGATGGATTCATCTGAATAAAGAATGGGCCCTTTCTGAGCCCAAAATTTCTCAACTAAAAAAGAGAAAATAACTAAAGACTTGCTTCATGGTGTGACTGTGAGAGTTAATTCACATAAAGAATGTAAAATATTTGCCTTTTTAAATTATAAAGCTTCACAAAAATTGTCTGTTATGATGGATGTTATATCAGACATCTCTTAATATGGGTTTATGGACACCAATTAATCAAATGTTTGCATCATGACTTTTTTAAGCAGCTTTAGTGAGATATAATTCATATACCATACAAGTCATCACTTAGAGCGTACGATTCAATGTTGGGTGTGTTTGGGATTTTTTTGTATATTCACAAGATTATACAACCATCATTAAAATCTAATTTTAGAGCATTTTTGTCCCCCACTAAAGAGAACTCCATGTCTCTTAGCAGTCAACGCCTGTTCCCATCTCACCCCACCACCCAGCCCTAAGCAACAACTAATCTATTTTCTGCTCTATAAACTGGCCTTATTGAGGCATTTCATATCAATCGACTCATATAATATGTGTCTTCTTGTGACTGGCTCTTTCATTTAGCGTGATGTTTTCAAGGTTCATCCATGTAGTAGCAAGTATTGCACTTCATTCTTTTTTATTGCCAAATAATTTAATATTCCATAGTATAGATATGCCATATTTAGTTTATCCATTCATCAGTTTGGTTTTTTTCCACTCTTTGGCTATTATGAATAGTGCTATTTTGAACATTCATGTACAAGTTTTTGTGTGAATATATGTTTCCAATTCTTTTGGGCACATACCCAGCAGTGGAATTGCTGGGTTGTATGGTAATTCTATGTTTAACTTATTGAGGAAAAAGCAAATTACTCTCCACGTTGGCTGCACCAGTTTATATTCCCACCAGCAATGTACAAGGGCTCCAATTTCTCTGCCTTCTTACCAACACTTGTTATTGTCCGTCTTTTTTATTATGGTCATCCTAGTGGATGTGAAGTAGTATCTCGTTGTGATTTTGATTTGTATTTCTCTAGTGACTAATGACATTAAGCATATGCCTGTCTTCTTTATATAACTTAAATTTTCCACTGAATAATATTTCACAATTATTTTAATGTCAGCTGTCCAGGATTTCAGGGACAGAAAGATCTCTGTTCAATAATGCCATTAAACTGTATAAGAATGGTTGTAATCTAGGGCACAGATGTTGCTGTGGTACTATTTTGAGCCACAGGACACCCACCTGAGGTCCAAGTCCAACTTGAAGTTCTGTCTCCACATTGCCCCCAGGGCCATCTGGAGACTCTGTATCCTCAGAAAATTGAAATCCTCTCACTCTTCAGAATCACTTGTTTTTTCTTTTGTGGGTGATTTTGGAATACTTTTAAAAGGTTTATTTTGATGATAATTATCAATTTTTTGTTGCATAAAGGTTAAAGAAATGTTGCTACAAGGCAGGAAATCTCCTTTGAGGGGACTTATAGGTTGGGTTTGGGGTTTCTGGAGTCTGGGAGGAGAGGCCAGACTCTCTGGCAATTGCTCTTGAGCCCAAATTGGGTATCTCCAGATCCAGTGTAGTGGGAGGCCACCAGCAGAACTCTGAGGACCAAGAGGTCTCAGGATCAACTTACCCTGGTTTTACAGGAACCTTGGTGAAGTGTATACAGAGTGAAGGTGGAGACTGGATGACCCTCAGGGAATTTGAAGTCAATGGAGGCCACGAAAAATCAAGTAACTGGAAGCTGAGTGTGCGCTGTGGTGGGAGGCCCCTACGATGGCTGATAGAGGTATTCCAGTAACAGGGGCCGGGAGATGTGACTTTCCTTGCTGCTTCCTAAGAATAAGGTCACTATTTGTTCACCAAATATTTGTTGAGTTATAGCAGAAGCCACGATGCACCAGAGTTTATCCTCTTGCCAAAGAGAGGTGTCCCACACTCATAGCCTCAGTACAATGCATCACATCAGTGTGGTACAAGGGGCTCTGTCAGGGTAGATGCAGGAGCTTGGAGGAGGGAAAGGTCATTCTGACTAAGGTGAATGCAGACAACTTTATGCAGTGAAAGAAGAAGACAGTGTACAGTCAAACAAGAGGAAAATAGACACTTCAGAGAAAGAATGACATGGAAACCAGGACCACGACTAAAGTAGGTCTGTGGGTTGAGGTAGACGGATTGTGTGTGATGAGGCATAATCCATCAATTGGGGTTGTTTGTGGAGAGATTTAATGCCAGGCTAAGGAGTTGAAATTCATAACATAGACAATGCAGAACCAGGGAAGTCTTCTGAGGTGTGAAATGACATATTTAAAACATTATCTTAGACAGTCATGGGGCCTTGAAATGACTTCAGTGTCTTTCAGCCCAACGAACCTATAGTCACCCTACAATGCTCAGCTCAAACGTCACCCCTCTCTGAATAATATTCCCTGACTGATCTGGCTCCTGGTCAGCCCTTCCCTGGGCCCCCTGAACCCACTACTAAAGTCCTTTTTACACTACCTTATACTTATCCTTCCATGCATTCTCTTTTTCTCTCTAGACTGCTCTAGGGTCTGTGTGTGCCCAAGATTGTCCAGAGTGTGTGACACTCAGTAGGCATGGGATAAGTGTGTGTTGATTGAATGGCTCTGCTGTAAGGACTCAAGCTGGAGTGGCATTTATGGGAATGGATAGGAGGTGAGAGATGTCAAAGGGATGGTGAAGAAAAACCTCTTAAAACTTCAGAAAAAGCACAAGAGATGGGGAAAAGTTTCTAAAGATGATTTTCCAGCTGCCATTTATTGAAGTCTAGAAGAAGTACAGGTGAGGCAAGGAAGATGGTTTCTCATTTAGACACCTGGACTTTTGAACTGACAGTGGGATGTCCAGGTAGAAATATTTAAGAGGAGGTGGGAAATACCAGACTCACAAAACAGAAACACAGGTTAGTCATGTACTTGGGTCTTTTTATCTTTCAGGAAGGATTTCTGCCTAAACCTCCAAGAATATACACCAAGAAAAAAAAGGTGATTATTATATAACTTCTTACAAGTTCTCATCACCTGACTGGTTTTACGTGTATGGCATGTTATTTTATGCTTTCTCAATTGGGTAATTATAATTAAGCTTCCTCCTCTCATCTCTCCTGCTTTTTTTTTTTTTCACTTGTTTCTTCAGAGTTGCAATTTTGAACATTATGTTGTATGTAAGGCAAGGTCTTCTTTGAACAGTAATCCATTTGACTTGGGGATAATATGGAGTCATCAAAATAGACCTCATGAATGTTCTTTAGCTATAGATGCAGATTTTGTAAGGATGTCAAAATTGGAAAAGCAAATATGATTATGCAATACATAAAAATATTTCATAATAGTGTCATCTTCAACTCAAGCCCAGATTTTTTTCATCAGTGTTAATATTTTCTAACTTCATTGAAATCTGATGAAACAAAAGTTTTCTCATAGTCATTCAGATGACCCTGGCCTAGTAGATACTCTATTTTGGGATATTAATGAAACCATATATAGTCACGTGTCACTTAATGATGGGGATATGTTCTAAGGAATGAAACATTAGGCAATTTCATCATTGTGCAAACATCATAGAGTGTAGTGTAGGGGATCAAAATTTGCCACCCCAAAATGTGTCCCTTTAACATGAGGATTATTTCAGGCTGATTATTTTTAAGAAATAAAAGACTCAGAAAGTTTTTCTTCTTATCTGCCCCTTAACTGCCTAAAAGAATTCAGATTTTAAAAAAACCTGTCTCGGGAAGCAAGCTATCACTTTAACATAACATGAACTAGGTGGTAGACAGTGAGGAACCTAGAAAAGCATGTTTGCTGGGCTCCCGTCTGTGTTCTTCTATTTCTGTGCTGCCCAAACAAACACTTGTTTTCCAAATGTTTGCTCCTTTCACCTACCTGTGAATTGCCTTCCTTCCCTTTGAAGTCCCCGACTCTCCCCACCTCAAACATCTTCTTTTGTTTTTAGTTGAAAATAGTATTTAAGGTGAGGCTTTGGCCATATGGTGAGTTACTCAGTTTTCCTGGGTTTCGCTTATGTATATGTGTTACTAAACTTTTGTTCGTTTTCTTTTGTTAATCTGTCTCATGTCAATTAAACCTAAGACCAACAGAAGAACCTAGAAGGATAGAGAAAAATTTCTTCCTCCTCTAAAGTACTTACACAAACCTAGATGGTGTAGCCTACTACACACCTAGACTATATGGTACTAATCTTATGAGTCCAGCTTTGTATATGTGGTCCCTTAGACTGCAACGTCATCATGCAACATATAACTATATCATTTCATGAGACAGGCAACTAAAATCATTTTTTTCTGATCCTTTTCATCCTTTTCTACATTCCAATAAAATGTACACACAGAATTTGTCTCAAGTAGAAATTATTTGCCCTTCATGAGGATAGTGCTGTTGGAGAGGAAGCTCTTGGGAGACTGATGTATCCTATAGAAGGAGCTGAACTGGAAAAATTGTTTACTTTGATGTCACTTCTTTGGATGCCCTTTGGCTCCATCAGAGGGGCTGTGAAGACCTCCTTTCTATCTGTGAAAGTGATTTCTCCCTCTGTGGAAGAAGTTTATGGAGGCAACAATCAAATAGGTTAAGTGCAGTGCATGGATTCCACAACCCTGGCCCTGTGGTCCTTTATTTAGGATGGACGTAGACATGGGGTCACATCACACAACCCATGGCGAAGAATGCATGGGGAGGAGACAGCAACCATTCCAGTGAGAGTGTCCTCACCCCTGTTAATAATTTTTCCTGGGACAGATATTACGGGCCCATTTAACGTTGACTTATAATATCCTCGTGCATTAATCATCAGACTTTGCTCAGGCTAAATCTCAGCTTGGACTACACACTGGAATCACATGAAGACCTTTGAAAACTACCATTGCCTGGATCCCATCCTAGAGGAAATTCTGCCTTCATCAGTCTGGGCTATGACTTGGACATTAGGATTGTTTAAAAGTCCGCAGAGGATTCTGATACCAAAATTAGCCATTCTGTGACTTAAGAATACCAGTGCCTGTTCCCCAACCCAGCCCAATTGATTCCAAATCTCTGGTGTTGGCACCAGGACATTAGTATTTTATATATTCTCCCCTGAAGATTCAAATGTGCAACTGGGCCAAAAAGCAAAGAGCCAAAGAATTAAGAGCCTAATCTTGTTAAAAAGGCCATTCGTGGCCCTCTCAATTTTACCAAATGTCAAGGTAGCACATAATATTGAGTTTAATTTTGGTCCTTATTCCATCTTTTCCTTGCATGACAAAGGGCTCAGTCACAGACCAGTTCTTTGTCATGAATACACATGTATTTGTGTATAATAGAGTATATCTGTACTGGTCTCTTTATATTTGATCTACAAATTCTCTTGGTTTTAATGATTAGGAGTTATTCTACAAGATTTGGATGCAAATACTGTCAAGTTTTATCTTCTCTAAATGAAATTAAACCTGGTTAAAGTCCTCACATATTGAGACTGGTGAGAAATCCAGTATCAGTTGATTCGGGGAGTGCCTCCCCATTCTTTCTATAGAACAAAGCAACCACCACACTCCATGGCCATTCAGAGATGGCTCCTCCACATCTTATATGTCAGGCTAAGTCATGGGGCATCTTCCCTCAGGCTCCTAGAGCCAAAGGGATCCATCCGCCCTGGCACCCACCTGCCCATCTGTACCCATGGGTCTTTCCAACCCGAAGGCACTGTCACAGGCCCAGGAGCCCTCCAGGCACAGAATCCACAGTCTAGAAACTCCTACCAGGCCCTTCAGCTCTTGGGGAGCCTACAGCCAAGAAAACAGTATGCAGTGCTTTCTTAGGAGTTTATTCCATCTTATTAAATTCTCAATATATCATCCTTCCATGAGTCAGTTTAGTTATTGTGGTGTAGACAAATGGACTTAACACTTTATTCAGGAACTTGTTTTATCTGCAAGGTAATAAACTTATTCAGATTCCTGTAAAATCATCCTGTTGTTGTTAGTCTTTCTGTGTTAGAATCTCTGATTTTATAGGGAAAAGTGTTCTGGTCTGATGGACAGATCCCTCCTCCTGAACTTCACTGCAGACCACGATTTCTTCTTCTGAAACCTCCACTCCACGCTGTTCTTTCATAGCTCAGGGAGAAGCATATAAGTGTCCAGGCAGGTTCACACAAAGGCAGTGAGTTCTAGATTCCCATAGTGCTGGCCTTCTGGGATCTCACAGGAGATCGGACATTGTTTTATCTTCTAGCTGGAAAACACAGATAAATGTGCGGTGTGCTTGGATGAAGGAAGGCTGTTCTGCTGCTATATTTGTTTGAAAACCTTTCACGAGGACTGTCACATCCCACCTGTGGAAACTCAGAGGTTCGTGAGATGCAGCCCCCTCTATCCTTATTAGTAATGCTTCTTCCTACCATGCACACTCCCCCTGCTGTGTTCCTACTTGTGTCTAGATGAGGAAAGAACAGGGCCATAGGCACAGGTCCAGCAGTGTGATCCAGAGAGCTGTTTAATGATGCTGGCAGCAGGGGGTCATGTTCTTTGCTCTCCTCGGGGATGCCAAGGCTGGTGATTGGATCCTTTGCCAACATGCATGCTACTAGAAGTTTTCCCGTGTGGACTCCTGTTCACAGGGGTTGAAATCCCAGTTGTGTGTGTTCTGTGCTTATTCTGAAAAGGCAGGAAACCTGGCCAGGTTCTTTCATTTTGCCACGTTCTCAACAGGCTGATGGAGGCCCGAGGCCCCCAGGAGTTGAGGCCTAATTTCTGAAACTCAGGCCTGGCAGGCAGGGCTCCTTGTTCTCCTAGCAGCTCAGATGGGGAAAGGAGAGCCCACCACTCACCCTGACACCACTCTCCACCGCAGACTCCCTGCTAATCCATCAATGGGAGGAGGGTCATTGGCTCAGACCCCAAGTGAGTAACTCTGGGAAGTGTCCTCTTCATCCTCCAGCTGTGTCTATAGGCCATTCCTGAAAGGAGGACAGTGGCAGTCATAGGAACAGTAGCTGTTTCCAGGGGCCTTACCCTTGCTCATTTATGCCCAACCTCTCAGGATCCTGTGGACTTGCACCTTCTGCAGGATGAGTATGTCTTCAGGAAGCCAGCAGTGTCACGAGGAACCTGAGGTCCTGGCAAGGCAGATGGGGCCTGAGGAGCAGTTGGTGAGTCAGATTCATACTCCAAGGCTTCTCCTTTCTGCACAGATGTGAGAAGTCAAACAGGTAAAGGGCAAGGGGAAAGGCACCCACATGGAGCCTGCTCTTTGGAGCCATGCCTCAACCACTCTGCAATCTCACCAGAACTTGTTTACAGAAAAAAGACTCAGCTAATACTTGTCTGTTTCCAAGAGCCAAACATGCTTGAGGAAACTTCTGAAAGACTGGTATGGCCATGCCTCCCCTTGGGCATTCATATGGGCTCATTCCCTCCAAGTTGCTTTTCATTCACAGTCTCCTTCTTTTGCAGAAATGTGAGTTCCTCCTCTTGAAGATCTACTGCTGTGTAGAGAGCTCCCTTTTTGCAAAGACACCACAAAATAATGATGTAAGTAACAGCACGAACCGTGATTACAGGCTGCCGTGATGATACCTGACCTTGAAACAGGCTCCTGTGGGATTTGTTATCTGAATTTCATGGGAATGAGGACACCAGCTGTCATTATCTTTACCTCAATGTAATTCTGCTGAATTTTACAGGAATCCACAGAAGGCAGACTTTGAACTATGTTAGTAACTCTCCCATTGATATTTTTTTTCAAAACCTAAAGGAACTCATGGGTTTGGACAAAATCAAGAAGCAGCTAAATGAACAGGGCTACCCCCAAGTAAAAGAGTTTGTGCAGGACTTGCGCCTCATCTTTCAGAACCACACGGCATCTTACGAGGTAGGTGGCTCTCCCTGCTTCCATTTCATTTTCTTTCCATTGAGTTGCTCTGCCCTCATTTTCAGGTGCTGGGAAATTTTACAATTTCCTTCTTCCCATGACAAGCTTGCACAAGCAAGTGTTCTGGAAGTGAGTGACTTCTTCCATTAAGGACAAAAGTTCACTGTGGTAGAGTAACTGAGTCAGAAGCTATCTCTGCAGCCAGAACCCCAGGCCCCTGAGAGCTCGTTCTCCTCTGCAAAGGAGACAGGTGCGCACAGAACAGTCAAGTCCTGCCTAATCCAAACCTAAGGGGAAGAAGATTTCCATCTAAGAGTAATATTGTGCTCCTTATCTCTCCCCAAATATATTCACTGAAACTTGGCGAAATCCCAAACTCCAGATTCCGTTGCATGTGAATGGACCCTATAGTTAACAGGGATCAGCTGAGGGGAATAGAAGTAATTAAAGGAAAGGAAGACCACTGATTGTACTTAGACATTTTTGTACTATTTGAATTGTTACAAAGAACACAGATTACTTTTGTAACTCTCACTAAAATAAATAACCCAGCCATTAAGTTAGAGTCCCCAAGTGTGATAATGATTTTCCATTTCTGACCAATGATGTGAAATAATCATGCTCTTAGGAAAGAGAAGTTACTCTTAGCTGTGTGAGTTTTTAAGCTTAACCTGGTTAATGTAACTTAGGGTGTTTAAGACAAGAGTCTTAATCAATCTCAATTGCAAGCTGTCTAACTGGTAATGGAGTTCATTATTTTTTCTTTTTTTTTTTTTGTTCCTTTTTTTTTTCTGTATGACTTTGGCCTAATGGAGGCTGAATTTGAGAAGAATTTCAAGGAACTGTTTGCTATACAGGAAGCAAATGAGAGCAGTTCACTGGTGTAGTGGATGCTGGTGGTGCCCCTTTGGGCAGGCTTCTCATCCCCAAGTTGCTGTGAGGGTTGGCTGCTGATGCCACCCCTCCCCAGAATATTGCCTTTGGCCAAATGGACCCACCTTCACCTGCAAGTTACTCCTCCCTGGATTGGAGCCGGGCCCCAGCCCCAAGGTGGAACCAACCGTGTGGTGTGACTCATGTTCCCATGCTCCCCACGGGATCAGGCTGGAGCTAGTCTCCAGCTGTCACCACATCCTTGCTTACCTTTTCCCGCCATAACATCTTGCTTCCCCCACTTCTCCTAAGAGAACTCTCACAATAAATCACTTACTTAAGAGACTTTACCTCAGCCTCTGCTTCTAGAGAACCCAACATAAGATAACGGACCTAACAAGCAGGCCCTAAGGATGGGGCTCTGCAGTTGGATCACTGTCTAGCAGATGGTGACAGGTGGAATACTGATGTCCTGGGATGCTGTAACAGTACAGTTGCCAAACTTTCACCTGTGGGAAACTGGATGAGATAAAGCGGAAGAGGTATAGCAGCCGATGCAGTTGTCTGGCATTTACAAAGGGAGAAATAGTAACTGTAAGAACTGTGGATTTGGGTGACTGTTGCTAAGTGCCACTAATGTGTTGAAAAGAGTAAATGGCAGGCTTAAATCTATTAATCACCTCCTAAAGCAAAGAGACCTTCATACCTACAACTAGAAGGCAGATGGTAATGAAGGCCTGGCACAGGCCCTAATGTTAAGCATGGCATAATTTCAGAGATGTCTGCATTCAAGGCTCAGGATGGTCACTTGTGCGAAAGTCAGGGCCCCAATAAAGAAGGAGTGAAGGTCTGAAACTCAGAATGGGGCTTTCTATGCAGATGCGCATGAGAACTCTGAACTCCAGATCCCCTTGAACCCACGGGGCCTGCAGAAGAGACTCCTACCCCTTGTTGGAAGACAGACACCTACCTTCCCAACCATCTTGCCTGAATGAAGACTATGTGGAGTCCTCAGCATGACCCAGCTGGGCAAGTTCTGGGTTGTCCTGCTAGCTGAACAAAGCTTTTACGGCAATGGAGCTGCAGGACTGGCCAACATATATCCGCAGGATCCAGGAGATTGTGTCTGGGAGTGATCCTGGATGGAGTAAGGTGGAATGTGAAACTGGAAAAGAGAATTGTCAATACAGGTGCACTCTCCTGTGCCACAGAGTTTAATTATGCTGGCAAGGGCCAAAGATTATGACTCTAATATGCCCCTGGGTGGCTCTTAAAGGCTTAGTATAAGCCACAGTACACATTAGATGAAGTGAAAGTAGAGATACTGCATGTGCCAGGGCAGACTATGGAAAAATGGGATCTGAACACCTAGGGAAGTTGGCATGGCTCTACTCTCCACAGCTGGAAAACCCACCCATCAGGTGATTATGTTCCTCAGGAGGCTTCAGAGATGCTAACTTAATAAGGTGATAAGGAACATACTGCTGAGGAGGCACCAGCATCCTTGAGATGCTCAGTGGGAGCTGTCCTCTGTAAGTCAGAATAATGTAGGAATGTTTTACAAAACTGGATTCCCTAGTCACAATGGAAATGATAGGATTCCAGAGTAACAGGAGCCAGGTGGCAGCATTTAACCGTCAGAACAAGATAAAATAATTTCTGTAATGGGCAGCAAGGTTAGAATGACAGCCAGGGCGACCTCGTCCATGGATGTCTATGGAGATAGCTAATAGGACACAGCGTTCTTACAGGCAAAACACATGCGCAGCCAACAAGAATATTGCCTCAAAATATCACCAAAAGAGATTAAAAATAGATGGGCAGATGGCTGAGATCAGCTACCCCAATAAAAACTGATGATCCTTTGCCTGGTTCCAGACCACAACCATTTCTTAGACCTAGAACCTGCTGATTGAAATGAGGGCAGGATTAATAAGAAAGAACTTTGCAAATTTACATAGTGGTGATTCCGTCAGTTCTTCACCAAAGAAACCTATGGATATTTATTCAAGTAACCATATGTCAAAGGAAAATACACAGATCTTTTAAGGATTGTTGATATAGTATCTGAGCTGATGCTAATACCTGGAGACCCAAAGCACCATCATGGCCCCTGTTAGAGTACAGTGTATGGAGGTCAAGCACTGTCTTGCCTAAAAGTGAGTCCATTCGATCCACAAAGCCAGCCAGCAATCATTTCTCCAGTTCCTGAATGTATATTCTGGACACACACAGCAGTTGGCCAAACTGGTTCTTTAAGCTAGTGTTCCTTAACCTATGAAATAACAATGACCACCTTAGGAAAGGCCAAGTGAAAAGCCCTAAAACTGGAGTTTCCCATGGTGAAAATAGTAAGTTGAAAGCCATGTTGTATTCCTGGGGAGTGAGGGAATAACAGAGATTAGTGCCATCTGCAAAGATTTAAGAATGCTGGGGTTGTAATCCCTATTACATCTCCATTCGATTCAGCAGTCTGGCTTCTGCAGAAGGTAGGTGGTTCATGGCTACAACACGAATGACAGACAATAATGTACAACTGAAATTTCACAAGATTGTAACCTGTCATTAACTCAATAAAAAATTTTTAAAAATGCTAAAGAGTGTTCTTCAAGCTGAAATGAAAGGATGCTAATTAACATCATAAAAACAAGAATGTGAAAACTCACTGGTGATGGTTAATATACAGTCAAAGTCAGATTCTCTGATATTGTAATGGTGGTATGTAAGTCACTACAGCTCCACTTTAAAAGTTAAAAAAATGTATTAAAAATAGCCATAAATACAATAACTTGTCATTGGATACACAAAATTAAAAATATGTAAATTTTAAACATGAGAGGGAAAGAAGTAAAAGTATGTTATACTATGATTGATGCAAATAATCAATAATCATTCTATAGTAAATAACAGAGTTCTATTTGAGCCAAACTGAGGACTGTAGCCCAGGATTCACAGCATTCTCAGGGTAAGAAAGCACTCCAGGGAAGAGCGATTTTAAGCACAGTTATATATCATTTCTAAACAAAGATGCGTATACCAAATAAGACAGGGGTACATTTCTTCAGGGGTTCAAGGAGATGTTTGTCACAGATTAGTACATACACAGTGGGTCAACATGACCCTGGCATCATGGGAAGGAGACATCTTCAAAGAGTACTGGTGTAATAAGGAGGATGGCATTAATTCTTATCTTCAAAGAGTATATTCTTTACTTTAAGGTAATGACTAAAGGAGATGTATAATATATGTTTGACAAGCCATAAGTCAGGCTTCTTTGGTTCAAATAAAATTTAGGGCAAACTAGAATGGCTTTTCCATATTCTTCAATAGATAAAAATTTTCTTATATCACTTTTGAAGTTAAGTTGTTACCAGCTTAAAATAGGAATTATAAATATATTTTGTGTAAGTCTCATGGTTACCACAAAGGAAAAATCTGTAGTAGATATACAAAAGATTATGATAAATGAGTCAAAGCCTACTGCCACAAGTCATCAAATCACAAAGAAAGACAGCAAGAGAGGAATCAAGCAACAAAGTATGTATGAACAGTCAGAAAAGAATTAACAAAATGGCAATAGTAAGTTCTTACCTATTGTAATTACTTTAACCATAAATGGATTAAATTCTCCAAACAAAAGACATAGAATTGATTTAAAAAACAAGATCCAAGGAGAGAGACATCTGCATCATGGCAGAGTGAGCTTTTCCTTTAGTCTGTCCCCCTAAGATACAATGAAAAGGGCATTCACAAACCAACAGAGGATATTCACACAACTCAATAGACATCTGAGAGATCCACACAGCCATATGTCTAAAAGTAGGGGTGCTGGACCCCTCTGGGAGGTGGTGAAAGGAGGTAAGCAGATCTCCTCTCTCTCCCCCAGTGGCAGCAGGCAGCAATCTAGGGCACCAGACTTGCATGTTGGCCATGCAACTCTGAGAGAAGGGGGAAACGGCAGCCCTCTATGGGAACACTCTCACTCTCAGAGTTGCCTCCCAACCTGTAGGGACACGCCACACCAAGGCAGCTAAGCAATCGTGGGGGCATCCCCACCAAGCTGAGCAGCCCACACAGGCAGACAGTGAGTGCAGAGCAGGAGTGTGCAGAATCAAGCATGCCAAAGAAAGAACCCCTCCTACCTTGCACACCAGCTCAGGTAGTCAGCCAGAGCAGGTGACACCTGACAGAGTGCCTGTGCATACATGTGTAAAGCAGTGGCAGCCAGAGGGCAAATGCAGACAGGCCCTCTTGGCACAGTTTCCAATGGACAGGCACAACTGCCAGTTGTTGCAGCAGGCTCAGAAAACACAGCTCCTGCCCTACCCCCAGTGGTGACAGGTGGAATCTGCAACCAGATTCTACTAAAATACAATGGCAAAAGTCTACTCCATCAAATAGCATGAAGTGTATTAACACTCCAGACCAGAAGGAAAATGACAATGACCCAGAAATCAATCCTGAAGTCACAGAAATTTACAATCTCAATGAGAGAGAAGTAAAAACAGTTATCCTAAAGACACTCAATGAGCTACAGGAAAACTCAGAAAGACAGTTCAATGAACTGAGGAATAAAGTTAATGAACAGAGGGAGTTCTTCATAAAAGAGATTGAAACCATAAAAAAAATCAGAAATGGTGGAGATGAAAAACATAATGAATGAGATAAAGAAAAATCTGGAATCCTTAAAAAGCAGAGCTGATCTTATGGAAGACAGAATTAGCAATTTAGAAGACAGAAATATAGAAATGCTTCAGATGGAGGAGGAGAGAGAACAAAGGCTAAAAAGAAAGGAAGAAATTCTCTGAGAAATATCTGACTCAATTAGGAACTGCAACATAATTATAGACATTCCAGAGGGAGAAGGGAGGGAGAAAAGAGAGGGTTTGTTCAAAGAAATAATGGCTGAGAACTTCCCAAACCTGGAGAAGGAGCTGGAATTTTATGTAAATGAAGCTAATAGAACTCCTAATTACACCAATGCAAAAAGACCGTCTCCAAGGCGTATATCAGTAAAACCAGCAAAAGTTGATGACAAAGAAAACATTATGGGCAGCAAAGTAGAAGAAAATAACCTACTAAATAACCCCTATCAGGCTCTCAGTGGACTTTTCAGCAGAAACCTTACAGGCTATGAGAGAGTAGAATAATAAATTCTGAAGACAAAAACTTTCATCCAAGAATATTCCAGAAAAGCTAGCCTTCACTGGAGAAATAAAAGCTTTCCCAGATAAACAAAAGCTGAGGGAGTTCATCAACACAAGACCTCCCTCGCTACAAAAAATGATCAAGAAGACCCTCATACCTGAAAAAGAGAAAAGAAAGAGTTGACAAAGCCTTGAGCAAGGAGATAAATAGACAAAATCAGAAAATCACAGCTCTCTATCAGAACAGTTTAGTGAATACTTAATTATAACATTAAGGGCAAAAGGAAGGAAAGCATCAAAAATAACTATAATCAGCATCATGGCAGAGTAAGTTCTCCAGGTAATCTCTCCCCTCCAAAATACAACAAAAAGGACATTCATACTCCAACAGAGGACATCCAAACAGAACAAAAAAAACCTAGGAGAGACCACACAGCCGAACAACAGAGGGTGGAGAGGCTGGAGCCCCCCTTGGAAGAAGTGGAATGGTAAGAGAAAACTCAGAGAGGGAAGGAATGGGCAAGAGGACATTCCTTCATGGGAACATCAAGGATCCCCTGAGGACCCTTGCAACCTGGAGGGAAGCCCTCTGCCAAGGCAAAAGCTTTGGGGAGGGGGTGACCTCATCAAGCCAACACCCCAGGAGAGCAGACAGCAAGAAAACCTGAAAGCACACAGGAGAAAGCACCCCTCTCCTCACCTGCCCAGCAGCTCCAGTGCCTAGGATCTCGGCAGAATGCAGAGGGCTCAGAATACACAGCTCTTGACCCACACCCGAGGCAATAAGCAGTAACTGTGACCAAATAACACCAGGATGTGGAAAAAACAGAGCCACTCCCTCTAGCAATAACAAACATTATATTAGATCTCCAGACGAGAGAAAATGACAAGAACTCAGAAAGCAGTCCTGAGGACACAGAAATATGTAATCTAAGTGACAAATAATTCAAAATAACTATCATCAAAAAACTCAATGAATTAAGAGAAGATGTAGAGGAACAATTCAATGAGTTCAGGAGCTACTTCACAAAAGAGATTGAAACTATAAAGAAGAAGCAATCAGAAATATTAGAGATGAAAGACATAATGGAAGAAATAAAGGAAAATATGGATTCCCTGAACACTCAAGCGGACATCATAGAGGAGTGTATCAGCATAGTCAAAGATAGACATGTTGAAATGCTCCAGATAGTGGAGGAAAGAGAACTAAGACTAAAAAGAAATGAATAAAGTCTCCAAGAAATATCCGACTCAATTAGGAAATGCAACATAAGAATTATAGGTATTCAAGAAGAAGAAAAGGAGAATGGAGCAGAAAGCTCATTCAGTGAAATAATAGCAGAGAACTTTCAAAAACTAAGGAAAAAGATGGAAATCCATGTGAAAGAAGCTACCAGATCTCCTAAATATGTCAATGTAAAAAGGCCTACTGCGAGGCATATAGTAGTGAAACTAGCAGAAGTCAATGACAAAGAAAGAATACTAAGGGCAGCAAGGCAGAAGAAAATAACCTACAAAGGAACCCCTATCAGGCTTTCAGTGGATTTCTCTACAGAAAACTTACAGGCTAGGAGAGACTGGAATAACATATTCAAATCTTTGAAGAACGAAAACTTTCAGCCAAGAATATTCTATCCAGCAAAAATATCCTTCAGATATGATGGACAAATAAAAACTTTCCCAGAAAAACATAAGCTAAGGGAGTTCGTAGCCATGAGATCCCCCTTGCAAGAAATCTTCAAGAAGGCCCTCCTACCTGAAAAAAAAAAAATGGAGAAAGGGATTACAAAGCACAGAGTAAGAAGATAAATATGTAGACAGAATCAGAACAGGATAGCAAATACCAA